GGTGTGAGAGGCAGTGCCATGTCGGGGGATCCCCGTGCGTCACTATGCATGTGAGCGGCAGTGCCGGGTCGGGGGATCCCCGTGCGTCGCTATGGGTGTGAGCGGTGATGCTACGCCGGGGTCGGGGGATTCCTGTGCCCTCGCACTTGGCGTGGCTTGCTAAGTGAGTGGGGGTTTGATCAGTGCTGAGCCGCCCCCAGCTGATTTGCAGTGGGAGGAGCTGGCGCTGCCCCCAGCTGCCTGACCCCTCTGTGCAGCGTGGCCTGTCTCCTGGATCCCGGTTTGCGTGGGGCTCGCTATGGAGTGGGCTCTGTCCTGCTCCCCGAGCCAGGTGGCGGTTGCAGTCCTGGGTCTCTGAGCCCGGTCTCAGCTGCTCTCTCGGGATCTCTGCATCCAGGAGCTCTGGCTGTCCCTCCTAGCCTGTGGCCACCGCAGCAGCTGGCATCTGCTCCATGGCAGACCCCGGGCTGGGGCCCAGACTCGGCGTAAACACCTTTAAACTGAGCCGCAGACAGGCCCCATGAACCCGTCTGGGGCGCCAGCTGCGCTCCATAGGAACGCTAATCCCCGAGTAGCGGGCATGGAGCTGCCCGTCAGCAGGCGACGGTGACTGCCCGTCAGCAGCCCTGGCTGCCTCTCCCCACCATAGAGCTGATCTGTCAGCTTTTAGGAGAGCTAAAGCAGAGGAGCTGGGGGAAGGGTACGTCCAGAGCTGGGGGGCACCGTCTCCTGGGCGCTAGGGGCTCCCGCTCATGAGCTGAGCTCAGACACGCTGCCATGGGGCTACACGCTCACATGTGCTTCCCCAGTGCTTGAGCGTCCGTGATCTGTGCCCCGGGATGGTGGGGAGGCTGCAGGGCCCTGGGTGGGGATCGCTGCCCTTCATCGCCTGCTTGCTTGGTGACGGTTGCGGCTCCCGAGCGCTAGCCCCGTGGCACGGCGGAGTCGTGGGCCTGCCGTGGGGCCGTGGCTCCCAGAGAGAGAGGGGGGTGCACAAGCATCTGTGCGAGTGCTCGCGTTGGCACCGGGAGCTAGCTGGCCTGCGTGCACGGACTCGGGACGCAGCTCTGGGAATGCGGCCGTGCACGAGCACTCCCAGCAGCATCGGGAACTGAGCACGTAGGCATGAACCTTCACAACCGCTCATGCGCGCACGCAGGGGCAGATGCCCTGCCGAGGCCCCGTGGCTGGTCAGTTGCTGCCAGGACCCAGCACACGTCCCAGGAAGTGCACGAGAGTGTGCACAAGCGGGCACTAGCGCAGGGTGGAGCTAGCTCATAGACTCACATGCGCACGGAGCAGAGCCAAGGACCTTTCCCGAACCTTGGTGGCCCTTCAGTGCTGAGGATGGGGCCTGCACCTGACAGCCAGCGCGGGGCGAGCAGGTCTGCGCGAGGCGGCCCCGGGATGGGGGTGGACAGGTCTCCTGATCCTTCCCCCATCCCCAGTCAGCCCCGGCCCCTTGGGTGGGTCCAGCCAGGCCCTGTGTACCCAGCCCTCGAGGGAGGGCGGGTGTTAGGCCCAGTGCAAAGCAATGGCAGACGCTGTCACGCGCCTGCTGACCTTTAAATGTCACTTGGCTGCCGTGAGCTGCCTGGAAAGGTCGGGGGCGCCGGCTCCTGGCAGGTCACGCGGCTCATCCAGGCTGCTGGGCCGCCTCGGCGGAGGGGGGAGAGAACATCTGGGGAGGGGCTCCTCCCTGGCAGAGACCGGAGCCAGTTGGCTGAGCCCCCCCAGGGTCCGAGATCAGCGTGCGGTGCTGCAAACCTGCCGCTCTCTGGGCCAGTTCGAAGGGCGCCCGCTCCCCCTCCTGGATCTGGGTACGAGTGGCGAGGCCGGGCGGCGTGACCCAACAGCTGGTGCACTGGGCTAGGAGGCAGGAAGCCTGTCGCTTCCCTGCTCCATGCCTCGGTTTCCCCATCTATACAAAGTTGGCAGCGATACTGACCCACCGTTGTGCAGTGCCAGGAAGCTGATGCCTCGAACCTCGCCGGTGTCTCCCTGGACTCTGCGGTGGCACCGGACTCTGACCCATTGGGGTGGGGGTCGCCCAGCCCTGCGGGGGTGCCACAAATGGACTGAATAAGGGAGCATCAGGAGGGGAAGCAGGGGGGATGGGGAGCTGCGTAGGAGCTGGAGCCCTGCACACGGGCCCGGCAGTGGGCAGAGGGGGTCCTGCGGAGGGCAGGCGGGCTCTGTCTGGGCTCCCTGGATTGGCAGGTAGAGGGCGGGAGTGTGTGTCTGGGGGGGGCGGGTGTGTTGGGGCCGAAAGGACAGGAATACCGGGGGTGGCGCTAATTAGCCAAGGACAC